CCGCGGGTATCAAACCGGCGCTTTTAAAGATTACACATCGATAAAACAATTTAATAAAACTGAATAAACATAATAATTTCTTTATTATGTTGTAGCTTAACTCTAGTATGTTCGTTCAAACACTCGGTACAGTTCGCACTGCAAAAGTGAGAACCGGCTGGCCGTATATGATTTTGGAAATTTTTTTAACGGTTTAAAAAGCCCATTGGTGCTTCGATCGTCCTGAATATTGAATGAGTGCAATTTGTGTTGCAAAATTGTGAAATACTGCATTCTGTCCGAGGTCTGTATCTGTACCTCGGATGTGATGTATAAATGGTATAAAAGGTTGGTTTACGCGTGCACGCACCAGGATTTGTTGGCAAGATTTTGTAAAGTAAACCTGTCGAACGCAAAAAAATTCGGCCTGATTTTTTTTCCAGGCTTAATATTAATCTTACGGTGATCAAGAGCCATTATGGCTCCTAAATGTGATCGAAGATGATTGCTATTTTTTTGGGTGTACATATGAGGCTATCAACTTGATGTAAGATTTTGTTCACTCTTTGGCTGTTTGCAAATTATTTTTCTCTAAAATCACCTAGCCTTTCCCTCAAAAGTCACATGAATGTGCTATGTGCTCTAAAGTTAACTGAATTGTGGAATACAAGTTTATTGTTTGATTTAAATTATAAATATATTAATGGGAGCCTCGCTTTTAGCCCTGGCTAAATCTATATATTACATTTAATTCTGTTCGAAGAAGAATGGACATGTGGGGGGCCACGTGGGGTTAGACAGCTATTGACCAATCTGCAAAGTGGGAGTTCACCTTTTTATTATTATTATTTTTACACCCGGTCTTGTAGTGATCCGTTTTCTTGATTGTCGTAATCTTCATAATTTTTATTTCTTTCATTCAGAACGGTAAACTAGGATCGCTGATGAATCCCCAATAGAAACCCTGCTTTGCTGTTTCTCTAGTCCAGAGTGCAAGCTTGTGTCAAAGAAGCCATTTTACCGTCATACAAATCAAATACCCCACCTAAAAAATTATAACTTCACAAGAACAATTTAATTAAACTGCTAACGCACGTATAAGCAGTGAGGGAACTTGCGAATAACAAAGAATTCCGATAAACCGAGGCAAAAGACGATGCGGATGTACCGGTATCATGATTCCGCTCAGACGTGGCGTTCGAGGTCCGGATCGCGGCCCCTTCGCTTCCCTCCCTCTCTCTTTTCTTTTTCAAACATATTGCAAGTCCTCGTTCGAAGACTGTAATTCACTGCCTAAAATCTTGCAAAGAGTTCCTCGCAAATCCTATTGGGCGCGCTTAAAAACCGCTATTCTATCGCTTGTTTCGACGAATTCAGCACAGATATATCAAGCAAAGAATTGAGTTCGTCTAGGATAACTGTGGACGGCTTTCTTCGGCGAAGAAGTTATAAGAAATCTTCGCTTTCCCAAAATCTGATCTTGGAAAAACCCGCGTAAAATTGTTCTGTTTTCCTTTTCCACTCTTTGTTTCTTGGCTCTTGATATACAAGAGGGTACTCTGACGTCACACTGACGTCATGAAAGCGATCTCGCACTGAGTGTATCAGACAGGAGAGGAAGAGAAACGAAGGGGCCGCGATCGACCTCGGACGTCTGACGAGAATCTGGCTAGCGCAGATGGACAATTAGCTAATTGGGGTTTCTGTTGTTCGAAACTTTTAATTATAATGCTTGAAAGACATTTGATTATGTCATAAAGCTGGGACTATGTCATTTCCAATCCCTCTCTTTGCTTACGGTTAATTGCGAGAAACTGGCAAATCTTAGAATTTATAATTAGCTGGCCTTTTGCTTTGGTCACTGTATTTATGTCCATTCCCTCTCTAAGACTAACCTGCAATTAGGCGGTCATTCCTTTCTTGTCCTTTCAAAGACGAGTGGAAAAGGAAAAATTCGCGGACGTTGTCGCTTTCCCAGAAGTAAAAAAAAAAAAAAAGAAGATGAACGGCTGGTAGTCCGTTCCAGGCGTTCTGATGGTTGGGACGGCTGGTGGCAGGTTACTCTCAGACCTTCACGGTTTTTATTTTAGCTTCGAAGTTATTTCGTTTTACTCCTCCTTCTTTCACATCTCTCAATCCCTTAGAGACATTTTTCAGATCATTGCAACCCCATTCTAGCAGTCACAATTGGGGAAAGTAGAAGAAACAACAACAACAACAACAACATCTTTATTTCTTACATTAAATATACAAATATCACACCACGTGCAAATAGGAAGGCTAATCGAGGCAGGTGGTGTGTAGACGGCTTAAGATTTATTACGAATAGTTCAAGTGAAAAAGTACCATATTTATAATAAAAAAGGTCCGTCACGAGAGAAATTGAGATAAGAAAATCGAGGCAGCTATTTAGATAAGCGGAGCCTAATATTTTTTAAAATCGGAGATTATCGTGTTTAGGTCAGCATATCTATCCTGAACTTCAAATATTTTCGACAGAATTGTATGAACCTTTTCCTTAAAGAGAGATTTTGAAGAATTTCGTAAATTTTCAGGTATACTGTTCCAAATTTTGGCTCCCATAATAGAAAACGAATCATTTTTCATTATGTTCCTTCGATGCATGTTCTTGGACCTCAACTCTCTCTTCTAATCTCTTGATATCCTTTCGTGCATTCTCTAATTGCTTCTTCAGACTATCATTGCTTTTTTTCAGTGATTTCATTTGGTCAGACTGACCACCTTTTGCCATTTTGGCCAAATTTTCACAGAGCTACAAAAGTTGCGTCCGCACTGTACGCACACATGCGCACACACCCCAGTATGAGAATTCCCGGTTCAACTCCGACGCTTCCGGTTATATAGAACTAGAAAATGCAGTCACGCGAAACAAGCCGTGCACACGAAATCAAGTCGCCTCTGAATGAATGAAAAAAAAAAAATTCATAAGGAGGCTGAGTAGAATTACATTTTCCGATTATATCATATATCCTAAGCTTTAATTATAGTTATAGATATGAAATAAATCTTATCCGGATAATGTACGCAGCTAATTCATCGATTCTGTACAGCAAGGAAAAAACTGGCCGGATACTGGGCACCTGACATCAATACTTAGTGAATGTTTCTGGCCTCCTTTATTCCAAACAAATTGAATATCAGAATTAATAAATTTCCTGAGAACCTTACTTCTTTAAGTATCTTCACTTTAAATATAAAACAATTTCTTTGAAAATATCACATATAACCAAACCATTTCTGAACAGCACTAGTTTTGCTGCGCAGTAAACATCGTAAATATTAGCCATGAACAGTTTACTCACCTGAACAGAACGGCGCCTTCTGCATATCGCGTATGGAGAAAATTGAAAATTAAAACGGATTGCAGTTAGGCTGATTGGGGTTTCTGTTGTCTGCGACTTTCAATTATAATACTTGAAAGACATTTGATTGTCATAAAACGGTGACTAAATCAGTTACAGTCTCTTTCTTTGCTCACGGTTAATTGCGAGAAACTGGCAAATCTTAGAATTTAGCTGGCCTTTTGCTTAGGTCACTGTATTCTATTTCCATTCCCTCTGTTATAGACTAACCTGCGATAAGGCGGTCATTCTTCCCTTGCTCTTCGAAAGGTGATTGGAAAAGGAAAAACTCGCGCACGTTTTCGCTTTCTAGGAAGAAAAAAGCAGAAAAAAAGAAGATGAACGCCTGGTAGTCCGTTCCAGGCGTTCAGATGCTGGGGACGGCTGGTCGTAGATTACTCTCAGTTCTTTGTTTTCATTTTAACTTCGAAGTGATTTCGTTTTACTCAATTTTTCACTATCATATGCTTTCTAAAAACAGGTGGCGGTTTGTCTTCCAGGTGAGAAGAAGACGAAAGAAAGTTCTGCTCCCAGGGTAGTAATAGGCCATTTTCATCTATGACGTCATTTTACTGCTACGACCAAAATCCTTCAGGGTTTTGCTTTCTTGTGCAAATTAGGGCTTCATTGTCTTGTTATTTAAGGTTCAGTAAAACGGGCAACAAAAAACGTCCAGCTTGTTTTGCAACATTGCTGCAAAATGAGTTGAATAGCGATGCTGTGCGTTTTACCATCAGCCATTGCAACAAATAAACTTGAAAGGTTCAACCTCGTCCCCAGGGCTTTTCCCTTAAAAAATGGGTGGGGCGGGAAAAGCAAACCATCTCGTCTGCCATGGGATAGACAAACACCAAGTCTGTTCAATCGTCCTTGAAGCTGCATAGAAATGGGCATTGAAGTTCATTAGAATTAATAAAGACTTAAATGTTACAAACAAGGTAATCCCACACAGAGACAAAACCATCTTCACATACACGTCTAGCACTGACACATAAAATCAAATCAAGTACAACGCAACAAATTACCGTTGAACTTCATGCAACACATAACAAAATGCACGGCACTGGTTTGAAATTTTATGATCTTGTCAGAACTCCATCCATCAGGTTCTTATTTTCCTCTACTTTAATATTCAAGGAAGTGTGGATTTGAATAAAATATAAGAAATGTCACAGGTAATGTACGTATTAAATAGATCAGTAATTTATGTAAACTCGTAATAATAATTGGAAATCAGGGGAGTGCATTCGATTGAATGGGAGGTGCTGGCAGGGTAGTGAGTGCATGCCAGTAGTAACGGCTGCAATACTTGATGAGCTTGTAAGATTGAAAAATCAAACTCAAACATAATAAGCTTATATCTACTTAAAATGTGGTAAGTGTGCTTTCGTCTCACATCTTCCATAAAACAGAATTATAAACATTCTAGATAAAGAATTTCATGCTTTCTGTTTTTACACAAATAATACAATTGGTGTGTGTTTTGGGTTTTCATTCTGGATGTTTACAAAGTCTCAAAAATTGTGCCGTCTTTCAAAATTGCGTAGCAAAGAGCAAGACCTCCACTTGAACCTGTACAACTACACAAAAACAGTACAAACCTTCTTGGTAACTATTGTGTTGAGGGACCAGTCATAAAGTACGGGGGGGAGGGGGGGGCTATGAAAATTTTTTTCTTAAAAAAAAGCGTTTCAACAGACTCAGCTCATGCCATCTTTCGTTCATAACAACCGAGTAGAGAAAGCAGAACTTGACACGCACATCACGCTCTGTGTTTTCCATTCCTAAGTTCTTTCCAGACACGGCATTCATGATCTCTATGAAAAAAGGCACAATACTTTTCATTTCTGTCCAAACGCGATCAAAATCAAATCCCTTCAAAGTCTCGAAGCTGTTCCTGTTGCTATATAAAACCGAGCCATCGGAGCGTCGGCATAACGTTTGACAAGCTGCGGCTATTTCATCTTTGATTGTCAATTTTAGTGCTGCAATCACACTCGGGGAACGTTGCTTTATGACATCGGCAATGACGGCTGGTTGTGTGTTTGTTACCCGAATGAATTCTTCAGTGTCACCATCGATGAGTTTGGAAGCGTCGGGTAGCGAAGGTGTGTCATCCTGAAGAACAGATGCTAGAGGCAAAAACGATGGATTAGCCTCTTTCATGGGTTATCGTTGTATGGCTTGAGCTGGAGCCTCTCCGAAGTTGAGTTGCTCGGAGGAGCTTTCCGCGAAACGACGGAGCTCGCTGGTTGAGCGCTTTGAAGGCGGCTTGCACGACGGGGAGAGCTCTACACAACGCTTCACTGAACACAGTTGTTCCAGCTGTATTTGCATTTGCATACACCTTTGTCTGAAGTCACTCGCCTTGGACACAAATCCATGGCACTTCCTGCATATAAGCGTCGAGAGGGAAACACTTTCAGTTATGTCAATTCCACAAACTTCGAATCTTTGAGGAAAGATCTCTCTTACTGCCTTCCTTTAACTCGCTCTACCGAAAACACGAGTCAAGTGACGGCTCTCAAATGCTTCGCAGCAAAACCGGCAAATTAAATTTCGAGGATGAATCTCTTTAGGAGTTGATTCCCGTCAATTTTCAGAATTTTGCTCTTTCTACGCAGCCAGAATGGCTAGTTTCGCGGGAGATTTCCTCCACCTCCCGGAAAAATTAATCACAAGTCAATAGACTAATGTATTTTTCTGAAGAACCGTCAACCAATGAGGATGCAGAATTGACCACAGGAATTCATACATTACCGATCATATGAATATTTAATAAAGACACGTGACCAGCCGATGCCAGGGCCTTTTCCCGCCCCACCCATTTTTTAAAGGAAAAGCCCTGGGGAAGAGGTTGTTGTTGTTGTTGTCTCTTTCCCTCGTCTCGCGCTTCGCGCTCATGTCGCGCTCCGCACGAAATATCGCGTTCGCCCCGCTTGGCTCATAAAGCGCCTGTCATGCAGGCTATATGCATTACAGGAATCACGAAAAAGATTCTGGAAATAGTATTATGAAAATATGACCATGGGCGGTGGGAGAAAAGGGAAGAGGGGGCCATGACTCCAGTAGCGCAAGCTAGCGCACATCAGAGTTGTGGCGCGAAGCACCAAGATGTACGCCCGATGCTGTTTGGTTTCCTCGTTATTTTCACCCACCAGTACAGGCTAACGGAATTATGTATCCTGAATGCCGAAAATGTTGAGAAGGTATATAGCCGGCCTTTCAAGCAAATGTCATGACGAAAAACAAAGAAGATTTAGTATTATTTTAACGATAAATATCATGCAGCCGCGGGGAATGTCATGGCAAGTCTCGCGATGTTTCAAAACGAGTGTCGTTAACGTTTTGCAGCTTTTGCGGCCTCTGATTTAGAGAAGTCATATAACAAAAAAAATTTTCTGAGCGGAATAGAATGGAAAAAACGCCGATAGCCACAGTTTAAAGCGTTCACCGCTGGAAGGCTTTATCACGCCCCGTAAAGTTGTAGAAACTTCCACTCAACTCCGTTGTTTTGAGGAATGTCATGACGAGTCTTTCGTTATTTGTAATTGAGCGTCACTCATGTTTTTGGCTTTTGCGGCTTCTGATCCATCGAAGTCATCAAGAAAAATTGCCTATCCTGAGCCAAATGGAATGTGGAAAACGCCGATGGTCAAAGTTTAAAGTTTCAACTGCTGAAAGGCTTTATCACTCAAACGTAAAGTTTGCTGAAAGCTCTACTCAACTGTCCTGTTTGAGCAATGTCACGACGAGTCTTTCGCTGTTTCAAAACGAGTGTCCGCTCAAGATAATGGCTGTTGTAACTTCTGATTTACGGAAGTTGTCAAACAAAATAGCCTATCCTGAGCGGAATAGAATGGAGAAAAAGCTGATGGTCACAGTTTAAAGTGCTAAGTGCTGGAAGGCTTTATCACTCGACGTAAAGTTGCTTAAAGCTCTTTTATACGGTTTGAGCAATGTAATGGCGAGTCTTTCTCTGGGCTAAATCAAGCGTCACTCAAGATTTTGGCTTTTGCAGCTTCTGAGTCATCGAGGTCATCAATCAAAATAGCCTATCCTTAGCAAAATTAGACCGTTCACAGTCCCCTATTTTTTCGTGAGATCGTCGAAACGATAGCGCGTCTTACTGTTAATGGAGGACATCTTGATTTTCAAATGTACCTGGGGGGCGGGCGTCGGGGATTATAGCTGTAGGGGAAGGGGGGATTTTTCTCGCTTCCTCCCAAACCGCCCCCGCCCCCTAAGTAGTTTTCACACTCATGCAAGATGGCAGCCCGTAATAGTCTGGCAGCATTTGTACTTCCGTGGGAAGTTCGTGCTGAAAGCAAGCAACTGGTCTAGAGGTATTAAGAAGACCTCGAGTAACAAGAAAAATCTAGTTGCCGGTTTTGTAACCCAAACCGAGGCTTTTCAGGGGGTTTAAAAAATTAACCTAACAGACTATGTATGAAAACAAGGCTGGGAAATAAAATGTCTTAAAACTTTACGAAACGTGGATAAAATGACACCAAAATAACAGGAGATGTAAAACTCGATGTTGTCAGTTTTTTCCATAGCAGCTCATAGCCAATAGGACACTTCACTAGTCATGTATGAAAACAAGGCTGGGAAATAATATGTCTTAAAACTTTACAAAACGTGGATAAAATGACACGAAAATAACAGGAGATGTAAAACACGATGTTGTCAGTTTTTTCCATAGCAGCTCATAGCCAATAGGACACTTCACTAGTCACGTGACAAAGCTAGCATGAGGCTGAGAAATAAAACTTCTTATACCTTTCTTAACTGTGGATAAAACGAAACCAAAATAACGGGAGACATACAACTCAATGTTTCCAGTGTTAGCCTAAGTCAATGGAATACGACGCTAGTCACGTGACGAATCTAACATGAAAACGAGGCTGCGAAATAAAGCTTCTTTGCAGTAGCTCTTTTAACTGTGAATAAACCAAAACCAAAATAAAGGGGATATAAAACACAATGTTGTCAGAGTTTGCCTAAGCCAGTGGGAGCTAGTGGGACGTTGCCACTAGCCACGTCACAAAGTTAGCATGAAAGCGGAGCTGAGTTATAAACATATTATAACGTTAGCAACTGTGGATGAAATGAGACCCAAATGGTACGAAATATGAACCTCAATGACTTCAGTTTTGACCTTAGGCAAACACTTACTCACTAGTGGCTGAATTAGGTATTCTCTGGGATTTTACGTGTCTAATCATATGGCCAAAGTAACACAGAAATGTGTTGGTTTGTAAAATTTTTGACTGGTCCTTTAATGTCGATTAAAAAAAACAGCTGTTAAAACTGTTTTGGAGGTGTGAAGCTCTGGGGGGATCACCAGAGCTGTAACATGAAACTCAGTCAGGAAATCAAACTAAGCTTCAATCAGTTTCTCGTGAAAATTTTCTATCCCTAAGCATTCTGTTCCTGCTGTGGAAAGGAGTTGGTGGTTGTGGTATAACAACTTCACCTCTTAGTGTTCTTCATCCGTCAATAAATCAATCAGAGTAAAGGACTGTTAATATGATCCTGATTAGAAGAAAAAAGCTTCCTATTAAAAGCACCATGGTGAAGAAGAAGAGAAGACCAAATGCAAAATCCCTATCTGACCTCATTGACATGGATACACAAATCAAAGAAAGACTATCGTCAACTCGTGGGTACGTTGTTTAGAAAATAATCAATTAGTTATCACCTCTGGTTTTCCCACAGTGAATTTTAGAAAATGGTAGAGATTCATATTATAAATATACTATCGTTGTTCTGGAAACACAATACTTTTCTTGCTGTTTATTGCACTTTAGTAACAGTTATTTAAGTATATATTTAAAAACAAACCAAAAAAAACAGCAAAACAAATAAGCAAACAAAACAAAACAAAAAAGAAAAAAAAAGGAAGAAGAGAAAAAGAAGGTCATTAGCGGGATTTGAACCCAGTACCATCGGGTTGACCCGACCTCACATAGCCACTACGCCATTGAGGATGGTCACGTGATTTGGCGAAAAGTCTCTAATTTAATGCCTTTTTCATGGAACTTCCGCCGGCAAACGACCGGGGCAAACGATCGAGCCATAAAAACGAGTTGAAGCAATGGGGTGAAATTAAGGCTAATTGAAACCAGGCTACTGACAACTAAACGCATTTCATACAACGACACAACTCCTCCGCGAAGTAGGACGCAAAACATTAGCTTATGTTTTCTTATCTCGATTTCCGCTGTTATTTTAAAAAGGTAATGCTCAAACTCACATCCATTTTCCCCCCGTGATCTTGGGGAGTCCTTAAGAAGAAAATACCATACATTTCACCAGTCCGTATTTTATAGTCCGTATTTTATACCCAGTCCGAAGTACGTAGTCCGCAGTCCGTGTTTTATACTGACCGCCAGAAATTCATTCATACACATAACCTACTACAGTGCTACAAGGTAGGAGATCAAGCCAGCGTCGAAGTTGAAGGAGTCGAAGAGCAAATGCTCATCTTCTTGTCAAGTTTAACGCCTGGACGGGTCAAAGGCTTTTGAATCGTACTAATTTGAAATATTCCTGCCTGTCTTAAACTTGGTAAGACCTCTATCCTAACCGTGCTGTAGCGCACGATGCACGCTCGCAGCGAGGAATTTGATGCCACCGAACTTCGGCGAGCGCGTCCTTCTTTGGAAACGATAGATCTTCGCGCTCTCGAGTTCGGACCCGATTAATTACGAAGTGCGTCTACTACGAGTGAGTGAGTGACTCATTTGCATATCTCAGTCCCTGCAATAACTCATGGTACGCTGGCGCGTACCCACGAGTTAAAAACGGATGGGCTGACACCCAGCATACCACAACTAAGAAACTGCTTTTTAAGAACCTGTCAGGCTAAAATTTTGCCAGTTAGGATGTCTTATTAAAAGAACCCTCAAATTTGAAACAAATTGCTAATCATAACCATTACAATTTCCTCAGATTTGATTGGTGCATTAACTGCTTCATTTTTATTTAATCATTGTGCGTGGTTGAAGTCAGACAGTTGCCTGTAATCGGACAGTTACATTAGCAAATCATATTAAGTGCACTCAACTAAGTCCACCCATCACGTTATCACAATTACCGCTGTAGTAACAACCACTTACCCAAACAAAATGAGGATTAATCCAAAATGGACGAATATGCAACATTTAGGCAGTGTCTCCACCAGTGATACTTTCATTTCACTGCGTATGGGCTTGGGCCCAAACCGGAGAGCGTTGTTGTTTGTTTGTTTGTTTAGTTTTTGAACATTCGTCACAGGCACAACACCAGTACTTTTTTCTAAACATTTCTTTTTTATGCACGATATATATATGAAAAAATCAGGTGGGGTTAATAACGAAACAAGCACACGTTTTTCTTACTAATACTTCACAATACTTTTATTTACCCAAAAGTTTCGATCAGCTGCAATGACTAATATATGCTTGTAATAAATTGCTCGGCTTGAAAAATGAATAACAAAGGAATTTTAAGGACAGCCGTCTATGTACATATATTTTGATTACATTCCTTTGTTAGCCTGAATCTCAGCCGTCTCGAGTGAGCGGGCGGAGAAAACGGCTAAAATTCAGGCTAATTCCTTTGTTCAATAACTAAATTGTTTCTATATATCATTGCATGGACTACCTTCTCGCCAGGCTCTAACTACGAAACTAGACTGAGCGGTGCGTGATTTTCTTAAACTGAAAAAATCCATTTACGTTGAAAGAACGTGGTGAGTTTTACAAATAGCGCAAAAGAAAAAAAAAGGAAGAAAATGAGACTGTGAGTAACTAGTATTTTTTAACTTTGCTAATTTCCTAAAAAGGCTATGAAATACAGAGAAAGAGAAAACTGAACGAAATTTTAAACTTTTAATGTGGTATACGGTTACGGTGTGCATTATAAATTGTGTTTTTTGAACAGATACACTGATGTCATTATTAAATTAATTGCCACCACAATCACATTTTCAGAGTTGTGTTTACTTCAAGCGCTTTAGCAAGAAATTCAGCGCTGTCAGAACTGAGGTTATTAAAACGCAAATTTCAAATTTGTCAGAGTTGTGTTTGTTTTTAGCGCTGTAGCAAGTGACTCCGCACCGGCAGGACTAACGTTATTGTGAGACAATTCCAAATTTGTCAGAGTTGTGTTTGTTTTTAGCGCTGTAGCAAGTGACTCCGCACCGGCAGGACCAACGTTATTGTGAGACAATTCCAAATTTGTCAGAGTTGTGTTTGTTTTTAGCGCTGTAGCAAGTGTCTCAGCACCAACAGGACCAAGGTTATTTTCGGACAAATCCAAATTTGTCAGAGTTGTGTTTGTTTTTAGCGCTGTAGCAAGTGTCTTAGCACCAACAGGACCAAGGTTATTTTCGGACAAATCCAAACTTGTCAGAGTTGTGTTTGTTTTTAGCGCTGTAGCAAGTGACTCCGCACCTGCAAGACCAACGTTATTGTGAGACAAATCCAAATTTGTCAGAGTTGTGTTTGTTTTTAGCGCTGTAGCAAGTGTCTCAGCACCAACAGGACCAAGGTTGTTTTGAGACAAATCCAAATTTGTCAGAGTTGTGTTTGTTTTTAGCGCTGTAGCAAGTGACTCCGCACCGGCAGGATCAACGTTATTGCCACGCAAATCCAAATTTGTCAGAGTTGTGTTTAATTTTAGCGCTGTAGCAACTGACTCCGCACCTGCAGGACCAAGGTTATTGAGAAACAAATCCAAATTTGTCAGAGTTGTGTTTGTTTTAAGCGCTGTAGCAAGTGTCTCAGCACCAACAGGACCAAGGTTATTGTGGGACAAATCCAAATTTGTCAGAGTTGTGTTTGTTTTTAGCGCTGTAGCAAGTGACTCCGCACAGGCAGGACCAAGTTTATTATTAATCAAAACCAAATTTGTCAGAGTTGTGTTTGTTTTTAGCGCTGTAGCAAGTGACTCAGCACCGGCAGGACCAAGTTTATTACTATTCAAAACCAAATTCGTCAGAGTTGTGTTTGCTTCAAGCACGGCAGCAATCACAGCAGCAGCAGCGTCATCTATACCTCCATGTATGATCTCACCCTGTTGAAGTGCCAGACATGCGCCAAAGGTACGGGCCAGTTCCATGTAAAAATTACTGCTTTCAATTTTGGTTTCTTTAATGCAATCCACTGCAACAGGAAAATATTTTTTCGCGTATTCGTTCTTTAATTTATTCGCTATACTGATGACAAGAGCTATTGCAATTTCTTTGGATCTTACTGCTAGGAGACCACAGGTAAATTTCAATACCTCTCTCAGCTCTCCGAAATATCTTGTGTCGGTCACCAATATTTCAGGACTGGTTTCTTTGTTAACAAGTTGGCAACAAAGATAATGTGCCGCGAAGAATTCTTGAAAACTCTTATGCGTAAAGCCGTAGCACATACACGGTCTTCGTTTGCTGCTTCCAGGTTGAGCTGATAGAAACCCAAATCCAGGTAAGTCGGCAAGCTTTTTGCCCTCAAAGTACATGTTGTCTTCATACAGGCCTTTTAAAGCTATTAAGCCAAGGAGTTTCAACTCATCTTTGTAGATTTCAATCAGATTCTCATTTTCGACCGGTATACCTTTCTTTTTCCTGTATCTCATAAGAACACATTGTACTATTTCCAAGTACAACTGAGTTCTGATTTCAGGTAAAATACCTTGAAAGTCTTCACAAAGAAGGCAAAGCAGTGCAGTGTTTAAAGGGTTTGCCGCCATCTCTCTGAGCCTTTCCTCATTCTGTATTTTATCCAAGAGCTTTCCGGCCAAATCTTCCTTGCCGACAAAATATTTGTGAATAAATTCTTTGCTATCTTGATGAGTGAAACCTTCAATCTCTAGCAGAGTGTCACAAACCTTTCTCATAGGTATCCCCGCCTCGTGTCGCGCTGTAACCACAAGGTGACATAGGGGAAGTATTTTACCTTGTATGACGTGGGTAAACTCCGGTAGTTTGCTCGAAGGTAGCTCGTCCAATCCGTCAAGTATCAGTAGAACCTTTGATTGTTTTTGTCGAATGAACTCGAAGAATTTCTCTCTTTCCTTTCGTTGAATTTCACCTGGCAAAAGCTGATCGTCAATGGCTTCTCAAAGGTCGGCCCCGATCTCGACATCACGGCATTTCAGCAAGAGCACCATCTCAAATCCCGGAAAGCAATCTCCTTCGCTTTTTATGTTTATAGCCCAGTCGTAAGCAACCTTATTGCAGTATGTCGTCTTTCCCATACCTGCATGGGTTTCCTTCAATCAACACTTTTCTAGGTTGTTCGCATTCTTCGTGGGGATTGAAGATTTCACTCGTTTCAACAACTCTTTGCTCCGCTGTTGCTCTCGCTTTTTTCCCTCTGCTGACCATACGAAGCCGTGTATAAATATCGCTTAGTTGGAACTGAAAGTCGTCGCACCAAGGAAAGGGCGCGAGCCATCCCTCATGACGTTTGTACTTCTGGCGGATGATTTCAATATGCTTGGCAACCAAATCAACTGTTGAGAATAAATGAGAACCAAGCTTTGTTGTAGATATGATTTTGTCTAAAATTGGTAGGTTTGCTAGTTTCCAAGTCCGCAAAACAAATAAATTGAACTACCGGTATAACAAAGCCTGGAAAAGGCGATTGCTGGACAAAACTTAGCTTTTATTAATTATGTCCTTTAGCCAACGTGGTAGGCCTCGAAATCAAGCGTAAAACATTCCATACTAGTGGTAGTGGTGGTGGGGGGGCTTCAATGAGGGCAAAGGTTAGCAGACCACTGAAACTTGCGAAAAGCAAGGAAAAAGGACTACTGTTTATGAACTTTAGGTTAGGGTGTTTGAGGACTCACGGTCACCTATAACCTCCATCCATTTTTTCAACTGTTTTTGGGACCCAAGAGCCCGGGAGCGACACCTGTAAGACAACGATCACCGATCGATCAGTAATACTTGCTTTTAACAGTTCTTTTAGACGGATACTTTTAATTTCTAGCGGACTACAGTGTGGGGAAACTGACCTTCCTCTTTGGTAGCAGAAACCAAAGTCTTCAGAGTCTCACTGATGTCGCTTTTCATCTGCTTAAATTTTTTTCTTGTTCTATCTGTCAGGAAGAATAACTTAGGAGAATTAAACTTTCATCGCACAACTTTCATTGAGGACAATTTAAAGTGGATGTCTGGAAAACCAGGAAACAGACATTCGGAATTCAGAACAGGAAAGGGAATAGCAACAGGAACCGGAACCGGAACCGGAATAGGAAAGCGAATAGAGGTAGGGTTTAAGGGTAGGAAGAAAAAAGACGCAATAAACGATCATATTTTGCTGTGTGATAAGACATAAAGTGTAGCTACCTATAAAAACAGAGATGGTTTTCAGTTAATCACTCAATAAGAACAAGTAGCAATAATGACCAAGAGTTGATAAGAAAAGAATCGACCGCAGGGAGACCACTTCTTTAATAGCCTTCAGGCTCCAGCTCACTCTTAGCCTTCAGATAGTGACGACGGAGCCTCCATTTCAGCTGAGCGCGTCGTCAGTTCGTTTTCTATCTACCCGAATTTTTTAAACGACCACACATTCAAGTAAATTTATAAAGCTGGCCCCTCGCTGGTATGCTGGATTTTGAAAGAAGGGGATGTGAGTTGAGATACACTATTATAATTGGTTTTGAATCGAATAAGGGAACAGGTACTGGGGTAGTTGAGCGAATCTTAAACTACTCTATTGTAGATGTTTCCAACTTTTTTAGCAATATATTTGCATTGTGGACGAAATATAACGTGCGGAGGAGATGGAAACTCCGATAAAATGTAACATCTGTAAGATTTTCAGAGTCGCAAGATGTAAGCGGATTAATTGCGAAGTGAATCTAATTAACCTTTCTCTACTTTTCATACGTGACACGTTTTCATTTCCACCGTCAATGCAGTCAGTTGAATGAGAGGCTAGAGGTTAGGCTGGTGCCCTTATTTTGAATGAGACGAGGGGTACTATCTTCTTAAAGCGTTTGGCTGTCTCTTCTGGTAAAGTTGAGGTTTGAATACCGTATAATATGTGACTCTCGATAGGATTTTAATGCTAAAGGTGAAAGCACGCGCACGACACGCTTTCACTTTAAAACAAAAGAATTTATTTTAACACACTTTAGCACGCTTGCAATTTTGCCTCATCACCAATTTCTTTTGTTTCAGAGGACACGCTTGAGACAATTAAGCGTGAGAAAGTCGAACAAAAGAGCGTGTTAAAGTTTTCAAACAAAAGCTCCGTGCGAAAAAGCACAACACGCTTTCAGTGTGCGCAAAAGCACGCAAGGCTTGTTATCTATAAGCTTAATATATTTCCTCTACAAAAAGGAATCGTAAATGATTATGAACGGCACCCTTTTTTGGTAACTATCGAGAAAGAAAAAGTTCTACCTCAGCGATCGCAGCGATAGTATCTGATTGAAAAAACCTTGTCGCTTGGAAAGTGTAAACAGTGAACGGTGGGACCTACTGGATTTATGTGTAGAACTATCATGACGAGATTCATAGAGGTCTGAAATCGTAGACCCTGCTGATGTTCGCCTATTCAATAGGCGAACATCAGCAGGGGAGCTCTATAGAAGTAATCAACTTTTTACGGCTCATTTGCTTGGAGGTGACAAATTCTCACAGCAACTGATCAATTCCTGTACGTCAACTAGATTTCGGTTCAACAAAGAACTCAATTACAAAATAGCCGCATTAGAAGTCTTTCTACCGAACCAGAATGCATTTGTCTTTGTGGCTTCTCTTAAAATTTATTGTACTTCGAGAAGAGTGATTTTACGCACTTCTTGCGGGGGAATTTTCCATTGTACATTTTGTTTACTTGTATTTATTAAACACTAGGGGCAAGTTATTTAGTAGACTGTTCACAGTCCTCTATTTTTCGGTAAGATCGTCGAGATCGAGCGCTTTGCGTTTCGGGCTGCATCTTGCATGAGTGTCAAAACTACTTAGGGGGCGGCGGCGGTTTGAGAGGAAGCGAGAAAAATAGAGGGACTGTAATAACATCACTGCAGCTCGCGTTCAGGAGGCGTGACAGGAATTTCACGCCTTTTACCATTCATTAAGAAACTCCGCTGGCGATGAAAAACATGCCAGACACATTTAGCATCGATTACGCGCTGACTCGTCCCCAGTCGTCTCTCTTGAGAAAGGAGAGAAGCGCGAGGGGTGATGGAAAAGGGGGGGGCGAGGGGGTGATGATAGTTCTACCCATAAATCCAGTAGGTCCCACCGTTCACTGTTTACACTTTCCAAGCGACAAGGTTTTTTCCCATCACCCCTCGCGCTTCTCTCCTTTCTCAAGAGAGACGACTGGGGACGAGTCAGGATTACGCGTGTTTACAAAATCTCCCTTCGAAACAGTGATTTCATAATGTTTCTAGGCCATTCCTACAAATAAAATCGGCAAACAGGCACAAGAGAAACATTTTCCTAATCGAATGGCTAAGCATGCTCGCTTGACCATAGACTATAACGGTTAAAACGTCCCGATAAAAAGCCTGGCATTTCTGACAGGTCATCTTTTTTGCGTCGGCGTTGCCTTAAATTTCAATTCATTTGGTACAAACTGTGTTACAACATTCCCACGGCCGGGCTGCTTCCAAAGCATGTTGGCTTACGTGATTCATCCGCAAAATACCATAAATCGTTCGTGTGTTTGCCCAAGTTGTACCTTATGGTATGAAAGCGTGCGTTTTATCGAAACGACGACTTATCAACGACCTGTCAGTACTAGACCCGTTGTCAACGCAATTAACATCTATTGTCTAATGACCAATCAAACGCCTGCGTTGCTGGTACAACGCGCTCCGTGAACGCAAACCGCAGGATGTTATTACAGTCCCTCTATTTTTCTCGCCTATTTCCCCCTAGAGCTATAATCCCCGACGCTCGCCCCCTCGGTACATTTGAAAACCAAGATGGCCGTCATTAACGGTAAGACGCGCTATATCTCAACGATCTCACGAAAAAATGGGGGACTGTGAACAGTCTAGTTATTTAGTCCGTATATTTATTTTACAAGATTGCGTTATAATTAAGCCATTTTGAGTTTGCCCAACGCTTTTATCAAACCACATTTATTTTGAACAATTTCAATAAAGCATATAAGGCAGACTGGAAAAGCACTTATTTTCTTAAGTTAACTCACCAAGAAAGAGGCCTGGAGGTCCAATGATTTCTTAAACCGCGGCCTAAGGTAACCCGTAACGGTTTGAAAGTAGTGTCACTCTATTTTCTTTTTCCTTCTCTCGCAAGTTAAAGTGAGAGTTCACGGAGACTGTGCGGTTTTCTAGAGTGCGTTCAGAAGCTGCCTTAACGAAAGCGTTACGACACTATCGGAATTAAAACATTGTGGAAATTATTAATTTAAAGCCGCGGAGTATTTTCCCCAACAATGAATAATATTACTTCTAACTTTCTGCGATCACGCTGCAAAATTTTTAAGATTATTTTTCAACCGAATAGGCAACGAATTTAATGCGATGATCATGTTCACTTTCATACCTTCACCCGCATTTCATATATTTCAATTTTATGCTTATGTAAACGCAAGGCTTTTTTTGGAACCTTCATTCAAGGCCAGAACTAACACTAACCGCTAAACGGAAACTGCCTTATGCAAAAACTTTTAAAATTGACGCGCTGTTTTAAAGGCCTCACTGGATCTGGATGGGGTTAAATTCAAACGTAAGCGAAACACTTGCAATATTTCAAAGAGCACTTGAGCAAGGCGATACAATACTGGGAACTAAATGCTTAAACAATGTCTTAAAAATGAAGCTCATTTCCCTCTGAGACACCCGGAGAATATAATTTTCACAGAGCCACAGCCTAAAAAGGCTAAGCTGCCCTGTTGCATCAGGAAGGCCAAAATGTTTTAGTTAATGCTAGACGGGGATTCAAACAGTATCTGAAAAGCGCGTTTTTAGTTCCCTCTGAGACACCCGGAGAATACAATTCTCACGGAGCCACAGCCTAAAAAGGCTAAGCTGCCCTGTTGCATCAGGAAGGCCAAACTGTTTTACTTAATGCTAGACGGGGATTCAAACAATATCTGAAAAGCGCGTTTTTAGTTCCCTCTGAGACACCCGGAGAATATAATTCTCACAGAGCCACAGCCTAAAAAGGCTAAGCTGCCCTGTTGCATCAGGAAGGCCAAACTGTTTTACTTAATGCTAGACGAGGATTCAAACAATATCTCGCCTTCGGCTTCGTCAATAAGAGATCTAGGTACGAGATTACCAATTCTAAAGGGCTTTTTATGGAAAAACTATTAGGGGTTTTTCGTCCCATTGAAACATGTGGAAGAAACAGTCATCATTCAGTCCAATAAGCAATTCAACATTAGAATACTGAACTTTTCGATGTTTGCCGTTCAGAAGCGATTACTTTTGTATTGACTAGTGCGTCTCTGGAATGAATCAGTTAAAAGCTTTGCAGCTATTGTGGCCTCTTTATTTTTAATTTAAAAAAAAGCCACATTCAGGTGTAGAATCAGTCGCGTCTTGGTCTGTTGTATCTTGGAACACTGTTGGTTGTTTGTTTTATAATTATCATTTAAAAAATTAAACACGTCAGTTTGGTAGTCACCTGAGGAGGGAGGTAGACTCGTCTTTCCATTATTGTAGTGAGGCCAGTCTTCAAAAATGATGGGATTACTGAGGATATGAGCAACAAATGATGCAGCCATTGTACTCGCAAAGGGTCGCCATGCATTTTTCTCAGAGTTTTTGCCATCTGCGAAGTCCGACACGCCTTTTATAATTATCCACTCAATGTTCAGGTCATGTGCTGCTGAGTAAACACCTGAAAGTGAAGATAACAAGTAGTAGATAACACATTTCCAAGAGAAGGATCTGGAATTTGACCAAAGATCTAAAAGTATGATGGGTTTTTGTTTGAATCAGCTAATGTTTTCCTTTTTCGACGTTCCAATTGCCCTCAGCGCCTTCGTAGTTGCTCAAGCTCCCAAATATATTTTTTAAAGTGTACGGTTTAGAAAAGAATTGAAGCCAGTTTATTTCAATTCTCCATTGGTTTAAAAACGCCTCAAACCTTGTGTCTCGTTCACACCAAAGTTTTAACATGCTAAAATGTTGTCTATTTTAATACAGCTTGTGATAAATATTTCCGAACGTCAAGCGATATTTAGAAAGTAATCAAAAGTCGCTACGATTATTTTCTAGTTAGTCTGAATCGTACACATTTTAAACTAATTAAAACAGGATTTAAAACTTTAGGAAACTAAACAACGTTAAAGCACCTTTGAGCGTTGGTGTATACGGGGAATGCATTATTATCAATGGATCGGAACTTTTTGGATAACCGTTGCGCCCATTTCTACGTCACTTAAATGGAGATTGATGAATTTTTGTCATAAAATGTTATTTTACTTTACCTTCGCCCTCCATCTCGATAGCAATTGCCCCAGGGAATCGGTTGAGAAGTGCTTCACGCAAATCACTGTCATCAACCACTTGTGGTCCACTCAGTAACGCACCTCGTACCTGTGCCACCTCTAATTCTTCTGGATCCCGCAACGGTGCGTTCCATCCAGCAGCAGCATTGAGTATTACTTTGGCAAGATTGGGCTTAAGCGGAACTCGGTCGCCACGTTCTTCAATACCATCTTTGGTGACTTTTGAAGGAGCGTATGTGATTAGTACCTCGGAAATAACCACATCTCCTAGCTTGACTTTGACTGGTTGTAAGCCCCCACAGTAACCAACACAAAACACCGCCTTGGGCGTTAAGGCCTTGACTGCGTCTCTAACAACACCCGCTGCACTTCCAGGACCAGCCCCACCCATTCTGCACTTCATTACAGCGATTTTCATCTCCCCTATATTTCCGATGTACACGTCGCCAAGCTCTTTTTGAAATATCCTCGAGAAATTCGTCAGGAGGGAAACACAGGCTAAAAACTCACTGTCCTTTACTGTCAACAACAGAATATCGATTGGCAGTTGCTCAAGATCCAAACGCTTTGATGTTTTAGGAAGTTCTTTATTTGTAAGCAAAGCAACATCTACCTCTGGAGGGTTACTGTCAGTTTTTCGAGACTTCGTTTCTGCACAAAAAAGAAATTTGTTAATTGAATTTAATAACCTTAGTACCCAGAGGGGATCGAATAGTGTCCCATGATGTATTTTTCCAGAAGCATCACGCAATATCGCAGTCATAGCAGATTCCATCTTGAAATAAGGTCGTTTTCTCGTCGGCTTTTTTCTCACTCGATTTCCAGTAAAAATAAAAAAATTACATTATTTCGTTATTCGACATGATTTCTCCGATTTGTAATGGCTTAAGAGCGAAGTTTCCACATAGAAACATTTATTTTCATGGTTTCAATTAGTCTTCCCATCACAAAGTGTTCAGTGACCCACAACCAGGTCATGAATATTCAAGATTTTTTGGAATATATGTTGAAATCTCCCAAATGTGGACCTTACACAAGCAAAATGAAGTCCTGAATATTGTACAGGCTAAGAAGTACCCAGAAGTACCCACATTTTGAAGACTTTTTTGTTGACCAAAGATGGCTGAAATTTCGAATCTGTTATCACATTTTGACGCCATGTGAATAGGACTGTTGTTGTTGACAGTGACTGACGTTTCGACAACCTGTGCGGTGGTCATCTTTAGAGTCAAAGTGAGTTGTATCACGTCAGTTGACATCGCGACTTAATTGACCAATCAGATCAATAACCAGAGTATAATACCATCAACTGACGTGATACAACTCACTTTGACTCTGAAGATGACTACCGCACAGGTTGTCGAAACGTCAGTCACTGTCAACAACAACAGTTCTATTCAGGACTACGTTCACCCGAACGATCGAACTCAACCTACTTTTAAGTAAATACTTTTATACATAAATATATGAACAATTAAAATAGTAACTTGAACTAAAAGAAGTTCTCAGTCTACAATGCTTTTCCACTCTGCAATCATCTCTCCAATCTAACAACTCAAACGCTGGAGACAAGTATTTTGGGTTTATCTGTCTACAAGAATGCTTTGGATTTATTTTTGACCAAAGAAGGTAACCGGATTTAACTGATGACGCTGGAGAGGTCCTTGACGCAACGAGGATCAACGAGCGGTGATCGACAGGGACAACTTGAACCTGTCTGAATTTGTTAGTAGGCCTGTGGTAGCTATTGGTCAGCGGTGTCACCTGCTATGACAAGTGTGAAACAGGAAAGCAGAGTCAACTGGTGACAAAACAGTGGTGCTGTTTTCCTGCTCATTTGTGCTTTTAATAATTTATCACCACTAAAGTAAGGCGCGTACATGGTATGTTTTAAACGACTTACTTGTAACTTTATATTATAGTGAACGTTAACTTTAAACACTAAGTGGCTACATATTAGTTTAAGTACAACATGTAAGTAAGAGCAAGATCTTAGGCGGGATTTTTAGAAAGGTCCGTATGCGCCCAGCGATGCAAGTATCCCGGCCTTCGGGCCGGGCTTTAGTTCGGTCTAAAAATAAGGGGGCGCGGGCCCCCCGGGCCCCTCCCCTAGATCCGCCACTGGGACCCTAGCATGCATCTCTTAGGGAGATGTGGAGGCGCACAGGCAAAACCGGCTATTGGTCTATTTGAAAAGAATGGTAATTTATTCTTGGGTTGCACGTGACGTCACCAAAAATCAAACTAAGAAACTATCGATTCTTCTGAGTTTCTACTTTCACGAGGTATTACAGTACCTAAACACCTTTGCATAAACAAATTTTTGGTTCGAAAGGGTTCGTCGTTTTGCGATAGAGGACGCTTGAATTTCCAGGCTTTTGCGTGACGCGGCATTTAGCTGGCGGCCGGGAAAGCTCTTGTGTCAGTTAAAAACATTACCGATTTCGGGAGATTTTGCAATCTAAACATTCCTTGTCTCAGAATAAATATTATTGTAATCTTTATGAGTTCCTCAAGCGAAGAATTCACGCATTAGGAGGAAAACTCGAAAACAGATGTTTCTGTTGGTATCCGGCGGCCATATTGGTGTTCCTGAAAGGGACACCAATATCTCGCATTTGAAATATTTCACAGACCTGATTCTTGGCAAGGGTTTTTGTATATTTATCGTTTTTCATTTCCCAGATTCTAGTCCTTCTGTTTTGAATGGTGTGCATTTTTATTTTTCATTGCGTGACAGTGCAAGCCGAGAATTTAGTTCAATTTTAATGAGGAAAGGTCCTTTCTGTCCATTGACAAGGGAAAAATAGGGCTGGAAAAGGGACGGTTTTCTCGGTGCTGCCCCAGTCTCCCCTCGTGTTTCTTTTTGGGCTCGCCGCGTACGATTTAACTTGCTCTCCACTATCTAAACGCCTGGAACAGGCTAACAATCTGAAAGCTAAGACGCGGGGTCAAAAAGAGCAGGACAAGAACCAAAGGTAATATAAATAATATGTTATTCCTAGTTTGTATTGATACCCTTTCAATCACCTGTTGATAGATCTCCTTTTCGCTTCTTAGCGCCGTCCGAAGATGCTGTTGACTGGGAATCTATAAAAAAGTGAAATTAAAGCAGAAATTTATGTTTTAGATACGAAGTTAAAAAAATAAGAGAAGTTAATAAAACTTATGTCTAATTCTGAAATAACAAATTTTTATATGGTAGTGAGTAGACTGTTTCAATAGCCATAATACGACTATTATGGCTCTTGACTGTTTACAATCGTCCCTGCAAACGAGAGTATCTACGTAACTATGGTCCGGAGTAGGACCGTACGGCCGACGACTAAGTTTTCTTTAGAACTTGTCCTTTTCATTTACAGTCAGAAATCTGTTTAAAGCTTGTGCACATTTGTCTTATGAGTCACCGTACCGTATGACTGAAACTTAAAATAATTATGCCCGCCGTTAAACGAGACAAAAACAGCTATCGCTGAAATCCCCGTTGCGACGCTTTCCTCAACCAAAACCCAAATATACAAAACATAACAAAGGAATATAATCTTGATCGCAGTTGTAGTTCTTTCCGTGGCGGCAGTGGAATAACTTGAAAAGTTAAAAACGTAAAACGACAAAAGACTTCATTTTTCGGTAAACAAATTTCAAGCTTCTAGTGGTTTTTGTCCGTCAATATTCACCTACACCGCCTTGGGCGTTAAGGCCTTGACTGCGTCTCTAACAACACCCGCTGCACTTCCAGGACCAGCCCCACCCATTCTGCACTTCATTACAGCGATTTTCATCTCCCCTATATTTCCGATGTACACGTCGCCAAGCTCTTTTTGAAATATCCTCGAGAAATTCGTCAGGAGGGAAACACAGGCTAAAAACTCACTGTCCTTTACTGTCAACAACAGAATATCGATTGGCAGTTGCTCAAGATCCAAACGCTTTGATGTTTTAGGAAGTTCTTTATTTGTAAGCAAAGCAACATCTACCTCTGGAGGGTTACTGTCAGTTTTTCGAGACTTCGTTTCTGCACAAAAAAGAAATTTGTTAATTGAATTTAATAACCTTAGTACCCAGAGGGGATCGAATAGTGTCCCATGATGCATTTTTCCAGAAGCATCACGCAATATCGCAGTCATAGCAGATTCCATCTTGAAATAAGGTCGTTTTCTCGTCGGCTTTTTTCTCACTCGATTTCCAGTAAAAATAAAAAAATTACATTATTTCGTTATTCGACATGATTTCTCCGATTTGTAATGGCTTAAGAGCGAAGTTTCCACATAGAAACATTTATTTTCATGGTTTCAATTAGTCTTCCCATCACAAAGTGACATAACAAAGGAATATAATCTTGATCGCAGTTGTAGTTCTTTCCGTGGCGGCAGTGGAATAACTTGAAAAGTTAAAAACGTAAAACGACAAAAGACTTCATTTTTCGGTAAACAAATTTCAAGCTTCTAGTGGTTTTTGTCCGTCAATATTCACCTATCAAAATCTAGACCAACCTTGGTCGAGGTTGTCATTTGTAGGCGGGAACAAGGAGGGGTTGCTCGGTGACACGTAAAAGAGGAATAGCAAGTCAAATTTTTGCACGTATATTATTAACAAGTAATCAGATGGTTATTCTCGTACAATTTGGGATAAATAAGCAGTCGTAAATTTTTTTAAGACCACAAAATTAGGTAATGGGTTCATGATAACCGTCACGAATATAGGGACATTCCATGACTACTTTGCCCACTATGAGAAAGTTAATGTTTGGTGAAGTTAGTGCAATTAGAGTAGTTGCTGTAGTTGCTGTACATGGTGTAGTTAGTGTAGTTGGTGTAGTATATGTAGTTGGTGTAGTATGCGTAGTATGTGTAGTTGGTGTAGTTAGTGTAGTTGGTGTAGTTACTGTAGTTGGTGTAGTAGGTGTAGTTGGTGTAGTTAGTGTAGTTGGTGTAGTATGTGTAGTTGGTGTAGTATGTGTAGTTGGTTTAGTTACTGTAGTTGGTGTAGTACGTGTAGTTGGTGTAGTATGTGTAGTTGGTGTAGTATATGTAGTTGGTGTAGTATATGTAGTTGGCGTACTTAGTGTAGTTGCTGTAGATGGTGTAGTTACTGTAGCTGGTGTTGAAGTTGCTGTAGTTTATGTAGTTAGTGTAGTTGGTGTAATTAGTGTAGGTGCTGTAGTTGGTGTAGTTAGTGTAGCTGCTGTAGCCGGTGTAGTTAGTGTAGTTGCTGTAGTTGGTGTAGTAGTTGTAGTTGGTGTAGTACTTGTAGTATGTGTAGTTGCTACAGTAGCTTTAGTTGGTGCAGTAGCTGTAGTTGCTGTGGTTGATGTAGTAGCTGTAGTTGGTGTAGTTTTGTCTAGTAGGTAAAGTTTGGTGTAGTTTTGTGTAGTTGGTGTAGTTGGTGTAGTTTGGTGTAGTTTGGTGTAGTTGGTGTAATTTGCTGTAGTTTGGTTTAGTAGGTGTAGTTTGGTGTAGTTTTGTGTAGTTAATGTAGTTTGGTGTAGTTTTGTGTAGTTGGTATAGTTTGGTGTAGTTTTGTGTAGTAGGTGTAGTTTGGTGTGGGTTGGTGTAGTTTTGTGTAGTTGGTATAGTTTGGTGTAGTTTAGTGTAGTAGGTGTACTTTGGTGTAGTTTTGTGTAGTTGGTGTAGTTTTGTGTAGTTGGTGTAATTTGGTGTAGTTTGGTTTAGTAGGTGTAGTTTGGTGTAGTTTTGTGTAGTTAATGTAGTTTGGTGTAGTTTGGTGTAGTTGGTATAGTTTGGTGTAGTTTGGTGTAGTTTAGTGTAGTAGGTGTAGTTTGGTGTGGGTTGGTGTAGTTTTGTGTAGTTGGTGTAGTTTGGTGTAGTTTAGTGTAGTAGGTGTAGTTTGGTGTAGTTTTGTGTAGTTGGTGTAGTTTGGTGAAGTTGGTGTAGTTTGGTGTAGTTTTGTGTAGTTGGCGTAGTTTGGTGTAGTTTGGTTTAGTAGGTGTAGTTTGGTGTAGGTTGGTGTAGTTTTGTGTAGTTGGTGTAGTTTGGTGTAGTTTAGTGTAGTAGGTGTACTTTGGTGTAGTTTTGTGTAGTTGGTGTAGTTTTGCGTAGTTGGTGTAATTTGGTGTAGTTTGGTTTAGTAGGTGTAGTTTGGTGTAGTTTTGTGTAGTTAATGTAGTTTGGTGTAGTTTGGTGTAGTTTGGTGTAGTTTAGTGTAGTAGGTGTAGTTTGGTGTGGGTTGGTGTAGTTTTGTGTAGTTGGTGTAGTTTGGTGTAGTTTAGTGTAGTAGGTGTACTTTGGTGTAGTTTTGTGTAGTTGGTGTAGTTTGGTGAAGTTGGTGTAGTTTGGTGTAGTTTTGTGTAGTTGGCGTAATTTGGTGTAGTTTGGTTTAGTAGGTGTAGTTTGGTGTAGAGTTGTGTAGTCGGTTTAGTTTGATGTAGGTGGTGTAGTTTGGTGTAGGTTTGTGTAACAACTACACAACTACACAAACTACGCCAACTACACATACTACATATACTACACCAACTACACTAACTACACCAACTACAGTAACTACACGAACTACACTAAATACACTAACTACACCAACTACACCAACTACACTTACTACATCAACTACAGCAACTTCATATACTACATCAACTACAGTAAATACACTAACTACACCAACTACACATACTACACCAACTACATATAGTACACCAACTACACATACTACACTAACTACATATACTACACCTACTACACATACTACACCAACTACAGTAACTACACCAACTACTTATACTACAACAAACTACACATACTACACTAACTACACCAACTACAGTAATCACACAAACTACACTAACTACAGCAACTACATCAACTACACCAACTACACATACGACACCAACTACATATACTACACCAACTACACATACTACACCAACTACATAAACTAACAAACTACACCAACTACACATACTACATCAACTACATATACTACACCAACTACACTAACTACACCAGGTACAGCAACTACACCAACTACTCTAACTGCACCAACTTCACTAAACATTAACTTTCTCATAGTGGGCAAAGTGGTCATGGAATGTCCCTATATTGTGACGGTTATCATGAACCCATTACCCAAAATTTGATTACAATTTGGTTAACCTTTAAAAAATTTACTTGAGCTGATTCATCCCAAATTGCACTCGAAATCATGTGATTACCTGTAATAATAATAATAATAATAATAATAATAATAATAATAATAATGGTTTACTAGAAATACGTAAATCGCAGGACCTCGCGAAGGACTGGGGGGAACGGCAAGTAGAGAAGAAAATTTGTAAATCTAAAAATTTTAAGCTATATATAAAAACATAACAAAACTGTTATAAAATGAAAACTAAAGGAAAAGAAAAGGTAAAAAAAGAAGAAAAGAAAAGAAAAGAAAAGAAGCGAAGAGAAAAAGGTTATGCCTGGAATCGAACCCGGGACCTTCGATGTACCGGACCGAACCTTTACCACTAGGCCACGTGGAAATTTTATTATTAAAACCTTCGAGCCTTATTAAACGTGAATTCAAAGATATTTTTCAGAAGAATGACAGCAGTTTGGACAGTGAAAACCCAACGTAAATGCATTTCATCGCATTTACATGTAGAGAATGGAAGCTCAACAGTCTAGGACGATACGGTACAAACTCGTCTGCGAGCAAAACGTGTTATGTTACCGCGATGTTCGCACATATGTCCAGAGGATTTTTCGGTGTCATATCTTCCCCTGCGAGGATTGACAATTCGGCGTTCTTGTGTTTGCTGTTCTGTTTGCATGAGAAATGGCTTGAGATTCACCGATAGTAAACACTGTTTTGCAGACGACGAAAACACAGCTCTTCATGAGTGCTTTGGTCATTGACCGGAATTTGAAATTGCTTTCAGTCGAATGTTGCCTTGAAACAAAAATGCGCCGTGACGTCAACTACCGTATGACGTCATGGCGGACACTATCGGATATATACAAATAAAGATGAAATCTGCGACTTTGTATCTCGCTAGGACCCACGCGCGGTTCACACACTGCGCGCGCGCTTCGCGCGACGAGATTATAAACTCACTTCGCTCGGCGCTCCGCGAGGAATTAACAGTGTATCCACCTAGTGGCTCTTCACCCGTTAAAAACTACAATATAAAAAATGAAAAACTATAATATACTACAAATAAAAGAAATTGAATTGAAATCTACAATATAAAAAGCAAAACTGTCGGACTATAAAAGGATATTGTATAAAAAAATAAAAATTTTATAAAGGTTAGTAATAGTAATACATCCCTATATGCAATTTACAAACTATTGGTGACCCTCCATAGGATTTGAATGCTAAAGGTGAAAGCACGCTCTTGATTATCTTCAGTTTCTCGCTCACCAAAATACAGTTCTTTGACGCTTTCCAAATTTTCAAAATCTTGCGAATTTAAACTCATCAGTGTGCCACTTCGTGAACGCTCCATCGCAACTGATTAACTGTTTTTGTACTCAAGAAACGATTAACAACACATTCATGCGTCAGTGATGCGTGCTGAACGGAGACAAACATCAGTTAATTAATGACTGTTTTAGCGCTTTTTGAATAGTAAACAAAAAATGTCTTTTTTTACAGAATTCCGAAATTGTATGGTGCTTTTTTGTTTGATTCTTTGTTTTTGCCACGATAATACGGCGTGTTTAGAGTACTAAAGCTCGATCCGAGAATTAAATCTCTGTCAGTCACACACTGAGAAAAGAGAAAAAGAACTAAATTAAAAGTAGTCCGAGTGAAATTCTTGAAGGCAATCATTTGTCCGATAAAAATCGGTCATTGAATTAATTCATCGAGCTCGATCTAAAGGGGTGACGGCCGAGCTGCTCGAAAGTGATGTCGTTTGAAGTTATGTCGTCCAAAACCTGATAATATGAGTTTTGTCGCCCAAAATTCACAGAAAAGTCGCCCGCAATCCTCCCTCATTCTACAGTGTTTTTAGATTACAGATTCTTGTTTATTTCGTCTTGTGAAGAACGAGATATAGTACACGTTTACAGCGCTTGATTCGTCTTAGCATAGCGTAATGAGATATCTTCACATAAATTATGATTGATAGCGCTTCGTTCGTCAGGGGCACCTGACGGCGATTTCCTCCTAAATGTATCCTAGCATCCTAGGACAACTTCAGTCTTTTCGAAATTACAAGTGCTTCAGCATTATTTTCCCGAACAATTTAGCTTCCAATTGAAAGTTTTAGGAAAGTGAGAATTTTATCGTATTTCCGGTTCCGACAATTTTAGTATTCCTTAACTCTCTACGAAAAATAGCTTAACTTGGGGAGTGAAATGAAAAAAATTAAACTTCAGAAAATCGTAAGGAATTTATTAGATAAGCTTCGAAAATTGTACCTGCATGGAACGGTCATCTAGAAATGTTTAGCCTTCCTCAACCTATAGAAAATTCTAGGCAGTTTTTGTTTCTCCGATTTAATTACCTTCGTTCGACTCGTCTCAGCATGGCTGAAAGAAATCTATTAAAGTAATTTATTCAACTTCATTTCTCTGTGCATTACGGCTAATAAATATTCCGGTGGCATAACTATAATTTTCAGGCGACATAACTTCAGTGCCTCGCATGCGATAGCAGGCCTCTTTGCGATTCCGGTCAACAGCCGACAGCCGGAGGAATTGGTTTACACTGATCTGGCGTTAATTCCAGGCTAGACCACCATTAAGTCGTGATTTTCAAATGGCTACGGTTACGATCAAATTCCAAAACAGTCTCAATTGGTATATTTGACTCACTTCGACCAGTTATCAATGCTGACTAAATCCGCTGAAAACCCAAGCCATTTTATCATCTTAGCAGTTTTTATCATCTTAGCAGTAATCAAGCGTGTTCAGCGTGTCTTACCCAAATTGCACGCTAAGCGTGCTATAATTCGCACACTTACCGTGACATATGGCAACGTACAAAAAAACAAAAGGTCTAGCGTGTTAAATTTACCAAAACAAAGGCAAGTGTGTCCGTACTTTGTTTTTTAAATTTAATATGCCCATATCCGTGATCTACGGCACGCTAAGCGTGTCGCGCAAGCGTGTCGTGAGCGTGCTTTCACCTTTAGCATCAAATTCCTGTGGAGGGTCACATATGTCGGTTTATGGTTTTTAAATGTGTTTTTGTAATTGTCTAATTCCAAGCTTTCATTTCAGTCCGGCTAACACCTTATTATAATATTTTAGTAAATTAAACCTCAGAAAGAGTACTATTAATAGAAAACACTTCAAAACTTTTATCAGTTAATACCTTCCATTTTATTAAATTGGTCCTTAATGGTGTCTTCGTCTTTCTTCCATTCCTTTAACAGCTCTCGGTAATGCTTCTCGGTATCTGGATCCATAGTTTCAGTTTTTAGTTTCCTGATAGCAGCTGCGTCTACACCCAGTACAACCAGTGCGGTACTCACACCCTGCCACAAGGAATTAAATGTTGGATTGTCCACAGACACCTGGCTGGCATGCCCATAGACCGAGTTCCTATAGTACTTTACTCTGGCTATGTTAGCCTCAACGCTGGTGTCTGAAGCAGGTGGCAGACTATCCCAGCCTGTGGCAGGGGCAGCCAGACCACAGATGTTCCTCAGTAGCACCGTCAGTAGCGTGATGTCAAAGTCTTCTGATGTTACAGATGAAGGAGGAGTGGGATACAGCTTACCCCATTGTGTAGCATTGATGATTCTCTTCCTTTTAAGGGACTGCAGAGTTGAATGTTCCGCAGAACCAGCTTTCAAAACATTAAACAGGTTTGCTGGGGAGTGGAATCTGTCAAAAAGGTGTCTTAAGGCCTTGGTGCCTCCATCTACTAAAAGGCGACATAATCTTGCGTAATTAGTGGTCTCCTTAGTTGATGGAGCTAATGTTGGAGCAGAAGCCATCAGAGTAAACCTGAAAGACATTATTTAGACCCTATAATCAAAAAAGGGACCAAATTTTCACTAATGTTATATGTTCTATTTTTTACTGAAGCCTTAAGTTAGAATTTGTTCTCAAATAACAAATAACCTTTTAAAATTATCTTTCAACAACGGCTTTGTATGAATTGTGACTGCACAGAACGATATGTGCAGATTTAAAAAATAAGAATGACAGTATATTAAGAGTAACGTAAATTACGCAGGAGTGCCAGTGAATCCTAAATAGAATATTTGTTTTTTACAACACTTACCCCTAACCCCCAGAGTATCTCTGCGGGGCCCTTCTTCTTAGCGAACTGTTGCACCTTCTGCTCGACCGTCTGACCAGTCACTCAAGATCAGTCCTCTCCTAGGACAATAAAATTGAAAAGGAATCACTAAGTGGAAATGAATGTTGTTTGTACCAACATAAAAAAAAAATAAAACTCGCCTTTGTTCTCACTGCGAAACCTTAAACATATTCTGGTGAAGTTAAAAGTTTCTTGCCACTAAATCGCCCATGCCAATTTTTCCCCGAAGTAATAACTATTGTTTTCAAATTAATGGCTCATTTTGGTCAAAGAAATGAAGAGCACAACTGCTGAATATGTTGATTACAAAATGATGATGGAGATTAAGTAGGTAAAGTACGGAATTTTTCTACACTCTTGTCATGGTACCTTAACACTGGTTAACAAGCTATCGAAAGCTACCGCATCATGGGCAAATGGCTTGCGATGCATTTGCATACGTGGGGCTTTCTTTAAATCACACATGTCCAGCCCCTCTCTATCCCATGGACGTTTGTCCAGGATTGTAGCTAGGAAAGAGTATAGACTTCAGACCAAGTCAACCTCTATTAATTCTATCAGTAAAACGGTGAAACATTGAAACTCTAGGGCGAGCGGCGAGAGCAAACTGGCACGCGCGACTGCGCAGGACTTTGTGCAAGTCTGAGGAATGAGTAATTGCTTAATTTTGATAACAAGTAAGTAAATGCGCAACATTCAAGGAATTGATAATTTATGTGGAAACCTAAACCACGTAAGCAAAAAACTAACTGTGCGTGGTGTTTTGAAAATGAAGTGAACAAAAAACGAATGAAATTAAAGTCAGTTTTAATGTCCTCAAGTAAGCGATGTCGGCTGAGTTTCACACTTTACAAAATTTCGGTCCCGTTGCAATTTGATCGACAACGTCAATTATTCGGTTCGGGACAACTAAAACTGACGTCTAACGGAAAAAAGGAGGCAAGCTTTTTGGACCATCTGAATTAATTCTCGGAATATAAAAAGACATGAAAGGATTGCATTTCAAACGAAACTTCCTGTTTCACTTTTGATATGCAAATTGTAACTTTCCCTTTAAACTCCGATTTCATTTCCCTGATGCTCAGTTCTTCTCATGACTCTCTTTAATAAGAAACAAATTGACAACCATCTCAAGTTTTATTAATCCTCAACGAAACATAGTCAAGTTAGGAACCACATACAACTTAATCGTGTCTGGGTACCGATGCGGGAACATTGCCATTTGCATTAATTTAACAACTAAGAAGAGATGTGGTGTAAATCTAGAATTAAACATTAACACTGTCATCAATATGATTTTTTTTTTAAAAGAATAATCATTTCCTTCTAAAAGTCTTGCAGCCTCAAGAAAGACCAGAAAAAGAAGCCACGAATCGATCGCTTGTCTGGAAAGCAAAAAACAATATTGCATTCATATGCTAGGACACTCGCCAACGGCATTTGATTAAAGGCTAACAACTGATCAATATAATGGGAAGAAGAATTTTGAGATTGCTCAAGTTTTAACACCCTTTTTGTTAAATCTCTTTCCTTAGGATAAACTATACTATCCTATGACCAGAAGCTAAAAATATGCTAAGACATCGAAATTATCGTTTAATTTACCTTCTCCACGTCCAAGAATGTTCGTCGCTTATCTGAATATTGGGCAGCTTCAGGGTCGTTAGTGATAGTTCGAAATAAAAATCAATTCATCCCTGAAAAACGCTGGTAAGGCCAGCACAGAGTTCGCGTTCCTTTTTGTTTCTCCTGAAACAAACATGGCAATATACAATGTTAGTGTTAGAGACGAGAAAATCAGTCTAGACAGACGGTACAGTCACGCGAAATCAATTATTTCTAAACAAACAATACCTGTGGCCTGATGCCCGTTGTCGAAGAAAATGTACTAAATGAAAGAATCTACGTGCATCGACCGAGGCGAGGTTCTTATCCCAATTATAATTAGAACCTCAGACGCAACTGCATACTTCTAAAAAGAATGGGGCGTAGCTCCGTAGAAGGATCTCGAGTTCGGAGATGCTAACAATTAAACGCGACGTAGCATGACCAGAGTTAAATTTAGACAGCAATTGGTGGAAAGTCACAACGTGCCAAGATCACGGGATACATCAAACGTGATATTGTGAACTGCAAATATCAAGCCATGTGAATTTGTCATTGAAATCAAAGTTCAAGCGGGTGTTGCGTAATTGGGGAATTCGTGAATACGTGTAATCCGATGTATTCCTATGGTATAGAAGCGTAACCCAGGATTTCTATTCTGTCACTAATAATGAAACGCTGCTCTGATGTCCTCCAACTCTCGACGGGACCAATCAGGATATAGCTAACAGTTTCGGTGGAGAATAAAATCGCATTTACGACATCCAAGCAGATAATAGTTTTTAGGGCAGCTTCAACCAAGGTCAACCAAGCATTGCTTCCAAAGAGAAAAGCATATAAAGGTACTTCTGGCGTGCTTGGAAACTTTCGGTCCTTGGGCACCCCTGAAGAGAGAACCAGAACCGATTATTCTGGCAAGTGCACTTTAATTTGCTAAAACAGGGGAGATAGCTTCAAGAATCAGATTGTTTTAATTTTGCATTATTGCAAGATGTTTCTATTACATTACAATAAAATAATAAGAACAGGAAAAAAAGAATAGCAACAACTTACATAAATGGTGAACAGTGACCACAGTAGCTCGGGCTTTCGAGTGGGTCACTGCTTCGGGTTTAGATCGATTAACAAAAAGCCATTCGATATATATATATATATATATATATATATATATATATATATATATATATAATAGAGAAAGAAAAACGGTGCGAAGTCTTTCTTAACTCTTTATGTAAACACAACAGAAAGTGGTAGGTGATAGATCATATAGAAACAATTAACAATTATTCTTTGAAATCGAGGTAAATAGTGGCTAAATATTTACCAAGCTACGAAGTGGGGAGGTAAATATTCCTAAAGCCACTATACACCGAAATTGAAAAGAATAATTGTTTTAGTATATACACACGAAGTGATCTCTGCAAAATCAGAGAGGAAACCATTAAAAGTACGATTTGATTGACAGATCAGGTCAGCTAGACACGCGAGAGTTTAAAAATAGATCTTTGTAGAATTTTCAAAAGTGGCATTTCACAAGGTTATCACTTCGCAAACAACAGCGTAATGACTTAAATGGAAACGCTAAAAGTTTGAATTGTTTCCTTACCTGAGAAGAAAGGAAGAGCTTTGCTGTTTTCTTTTGACTCGCCAAGTTTATAGCCCAAAAGGTTTGTTGTGTCGTTCTCATGAAGTGCTGACAAAAATGGCGAATCGGTTCCTCGAGGTAAAACGTCGTCTTCATATAGCATTCTTTCTCCCGTTTACTCGAAACGTAGAATTTCTGCAAATATTTCCTTCAAATTTGTTTGTCATAAATAAACTTCGTTTTTGGGCCAAATTTTTCTTGTTAGGAAACGGTGAGTGCACGAAACGGCCTCCTCTAGGCGAATAAACGGGAGTTGTAAACAATCCATCGACCACAAAACTCAACTACATTTATGGAAAAACGCCGTTTTCAATCCTTCGAAGTTTTTTCTTGCCTGAAAAAAAGTCAACCCTAGGATTTTGTCGACTTTTAAAAGATCTTTCTCTAAAAAAATGGGAAAAAAACCGAGCCCACACATTTATTTGCTAGAAGGTGAATATTGTTCAATAGTCCGAGATAGCGAACCAATCAGATTGCTTAAATCACCAAGATCACTGAGTGTGTATATACTTATCAATAGTAGGCAACAATAGGTAGGGACAACGCGGGCGATTATCTGCAGAAAGCAGTCTATATTATAGAAATCAGTTTCTCTTCCGGTGCGGATTGCGATAGCCCCACTTATCCACCAGTTACACTGTATTGTGAAAACAACAATAACAACAACAACAAAGAAAAAAACAGGCAAGCTACAGTTCATGGAATAACATTAGTAATCTAATGCAATTACAGGGAGCTAATTCGTGTTTAAAGTTAGCCAGTTTACAAAAGAACTCATAAAACGCTTTGTGTTTACTTTTGGTGTACGGCTGACTTTCTTCTAAGCTGCTACCTGGCCTCATAACTTTAGCGGAGAATTTTTTTTTTTATCTTACTTTTCTGAAAGATCGCGGATATCAATGTTATATGAGATTCATGTACCGACGCTTCTTGAAGTACATCTGCCCAAAAAACACTACTGAGTTCGTTATTAGTTTAACTTCAGTGGCTCCATACACAGCAAGCCCCTCTCCTCTAATAAGCGTCCTGAGAACATAAAGAGACAAGTTCCTTAACCTGAGGTATTCTTACCAGCTATACTCTATCAAAGATTAATTCTTTACATTTACTAGGATTACAGGCCACACAGTTTTCTAGACTCTATAAGAACTGAATTACCAGGTGCAATTATGGTGGAGAACCCCTCATATCTACATGCAAACAAATTGTAGAGCCATTGCCTTTGTATCTCGAGGTCGTTTAGAAGGATATTAAATAGGTAGGGGCTCCTTCCGATGCTGTGAAAACTGTGTATTGTTGACCTCTCTATGAGGCCTATGTTTTAAAAAAATTGGGACCTAGATAGAGATTGATAAGACAGGGGTTCAGCGGAAGTTCTTATACTTTTTCAGATAGTAAGGAGTGTTTGACAGAGTCAAAGGCCTTTTAATAAAATCCATAGAAAAGAGTCGCACCGCTTTGCACAGTCAAGTTGATTTACAGTTGTATACAGTGTGCTGAATAGCTATCAAATCGTCTGTACAATTTTCTCCGTCCCTATATGCGAATAGGATAGATCACCTGAGCATTTTTTGCCATGACTTGGGCGATCGATGATAATGTGGATTCCACGCTTAAATTTCTCACTTACCTGTTTCGCAGACTTACAAAAAAACAAGACATAAATGCAAAACGATATATTTTTATTTTATTTTATTCATTTTTTTTTTATTTTTATACTAGCCTTTCAAACGCCCAGCTTAAAAAGCAACTTCATGATCTTTTGGGGAGAATTTTTAATACTAAAGGAAAAAGCTTCATAGCTACCAATAATTTTCGCACCTTCTGGGCGAATGATAAGACGTCAACGAGGTACGCGTAATTCTCCTGTCGAGAGCTTGGTCTCGCTATTGACTTTCTTATCGATAACATCTACGTTCGTTTTGGAAGCTCGGTTTTCCGTCAGGTTATTGATATACCCATGGGCACTAACAGTGCACCTTTTGTTGGCTGATCTCTTCCTTCATACCTTTGAGTACGATTTTATGGTCAAAACAATGCATCAGCGCGATTTACCCGTCGGAATTGGAACTTAAGGACACATCCACATCATCTACTGAAGTGGGTTATCTCGGCACAAATATCAAGACTGGCGACGTAACCACACCTTTCCGTATCTGCATCTACGATAAGAGAGATGACTTTGCATTCCGGATTGTCAACTTTCCTCACATGGACAGCAACATTCCCCCCAATCAAGCTTACGGTGTTTATATATCTCAACCGGTGAGATATGCTAGAATTTGCACGTCCAAAGTTGACTTCATAAATAGACTCCGCGGACTTTCATTACGTCTCAGACAACAAGGCTTTGAAACCAATCGACTTCAGAACTCATTTAATAAATTCGTCAATCGCCATGGTCTTATCGTCGAGAAGTATGGTGCAGTCCTGCGGGAGATGAGATTAGCAATCCAGGCTTAAATTGCACCATCGTATCCTTACATTGCTTATTTATTACTTGGATTTTTATTTCAGTTGTATACTGGTACGTGTGCTCGCGCAATTCAATTTTGGGCGCGTGTATTATTTATTTATTTAAGTTGAGTGTACATTTAGTTTGTTTAATAACGTCTTAGTTTTGCTTTGCATTATTTTCCTCACTTATATGTGTTGTCCGCGACTGTGCTCACACGGTGGGTGGCTCCTCCTAAAATGTTCTACAATTGGTATAGGATTTAATGGAGCCGAAACCAATTGTGGAATTGCACGCATTTTAGGCATCCTACTGATGAACAATTGGCACACGTAGATATATTGTTTAGCTACTACTATAGTTTGCAGTCTGTCTACTTTGAATTTTTTATTTAGCCGTGTTTCAGCGACAGTTAACTAATAACGTATGCTTGTTATAATTGGAAAGTGCAACTAACGTGTCCAGCAGAATAGTAGACTGCGAGCAGACCCTCAGGATGGTCACGAGAGCGAGGAAATCGAGCAAAGCGAGCAAAAGTAAGAAACAAGAAGGCGAGGGAAATCTGGGGTTTCCCTCTCTGCCATTTTGCTCTCTCCAGTCCTGCCGAGCTTAGACTCGACTGATTGAAGAGGGACTGCTCGCAGTCTAGCAGAATAGCAAAAAGAGTAATGAATGGTTTTCAAGCAAAAAGTTTCAATTTGTATAATTCATACTGATAAAAAAGGAATTAAAACAAAAATGTAAGGAAGGCTTCACTTCTGCATAGAGCGATTTTCGTTTGACCTTGAAAAATGGCTTTGGTAAGTTTTCGTTATTTGTTTTATCTGCCAATGGATGAAAAGATCAAAACATGGCCTCTTCGTTTTTCCGCGAGAAAACCCTAATATGGAGAAGGCATTGTTCGATTGGCCAATCGTGTTGCAGTGTGGCGTCAAAGCGAAGTGTCGATTGATTTCTAGAAAGTTCTCGAGCATGACGGTTTTTCAGCCGAGCGTTCGCTTGCAATCAAAAGCCACGCGCGTTTGTATCAGTTCGATAAAACAATCAAATCGTTCTTATTTTGCACGAATAGGCCTCAATTTCGTCCACACGAAACCAGTGAATCCGGTCACCAAAACCACATTGTTTTGAAACCACTCTCCGGTGGGGAATAAGCTAAGGCCTTTCGCACACCAATCCGGATAAAAACTGTATTTAGGCAGTTTCAAAAATGTGCGGACTCGTGTGGACATTCCTGAAAAACTTCAAAGAAAAGCAGGAAAA